ATTCGACTTTTTTTATGTTGTCACAAAAGACCCTTTGATGAAAATAAGTAGAAATAATTAAAAACAAAATATATTGTGAATAAATTTTTATCATTTTGGGACATTCAAACCTATTCTGAACATAGTCAGTGAATATCAAGAGTTTAGCATGTTATAAACTATAAGATAAATAATCTAAACACTGGCTTGAAATATCTACACCTATTTAATTAAGTATGAATATGATTATATTGGAGATGATACTATGAGCATAAATGAGCTAATGCACGGTTACATCACAAATGCTCCAGAGCCATACTTACGACATCCTCTCTCATCAGAGCGATCAGCGCAGTCAGATCTGCCGTTACAGACAAGATTCACGCTGATGCATGATCCATCGTCACAACGAAACTCACTTGATGAGCATTGATCATAGGCTAAAACATTTACATATACATGTCAAAATGCTGGGGAACAAAGTTATCTGCCCTTGTAGTTGTAACACAAAGTTATATACCTAGCAGGGACAATGTTATCTCCCCTTCTAGTTGGGACAAAGTTATCCACCCTTTTAGCAGGGACAAAGTTATCTCCCCTTCTTGTGGGGACACAGTTATCCTGTTATCTGGAAGGATATCATGTTTACTGGAAGTGGTGTGGCCTAGTAAAAACAGCAAACAGAAAGTAGAAAAAAATAGTTTTGACTTCAAGGTTACATAACTTTTTATTCTTCATGGCATGACCCACATTTTTTACGATTAAATCACAATTTCACATTACTACATACATGATATGCACATTAATAAAAATTTCTATGTAGCATTTTATTTTAAAAAATTTTCAAAGATCAGCTGTTTTGCATGTAAGCCTATGGAGCAGTCAAATACAAGACTGCAACCTTCTAGCAGGGACAAATTATCTCCCCTTCCCTTGCTGTGGGGGCAAGATTGTCTGCTCTTGTACTTTAATCATATAGTTATCTACCCTTCTAGCAGGGACAAAATTATCTCCCTTTCTTGTCGAAAAAGAGGGGGGGGGGGGGCAAAATTATTCCTTTTCCAGTGAGACGAAGTTATATCCCCTTCTAATAGCAACAAATTCTACTTGCAAATTATCCTAAAAACCTAAATATTAACAACTGGATTTGACCTTCCATCAATTAGTCTTTAAAACCTTAGCAATGTCTTTAGCAGTTGTTTAGCACAGCAAATTGGTGGTAGTTAATGAGTTAAAGGGTGTGGAAAACTGAACACAACACAATGAACTGTCACAAACAAATTAATTAAATATATGAAATACGGCATAATATTGAGGTTAAAAATTCATTATTGGGACAAAAGAGTTAACTTGTGAAATATGACAGCTCAAATGCAAAATGATATAATTTCAGCACTATCTTATCCATTATTTTAAAGAATTGCCTTCTTTTACTTTAATTATCCATTCAATAGATAGAGCCATACATAACCTGTATCCTGTACTTAACCCAGTCAATAAATCATGACAATGCCCCAACCTGAAACTTACATTTACACTACTCAAACTGTCCCTTTAAATAAACATGAAATCTTAAGTTTTGCAACATTTAAAAAAGAAAAAGCCAAAAAAATTTACTGAATTTAATATTTAAAGGCATGTGGGTTATTTCATATTGTGTACATAAGTTGAAAATAACTTTATGCCATTGGTAGGATATTCATTTGATAAGCTGGTAGGATATTCATTTGATAAGCACAGAAAGTTGTTAGCAAATTAAAATGATCTAAAATGTTTTGTGAATGTTTTTGAAATAAAATGCTTCGCTGGGGCGCAGCTTGATACGACCGCAGAGGTCGAACCCTGAACAGTTGGGGCAAGTATGGACACAACATTCAAGCTTGATACAGCTCTGAATTTGGATTGTTATTAAATATTTGACACAGCATAGGTTTCTGACACAGAAAGAATGTGGTCTAAGAACTTGAATTTTTTTAATTTACCTATTATGGTCCAATGTCCAAAATCAAAATACATGGTTAGATTCAGCATATCAAAGAACCCCATATATTCAATTTTTGTTAAAATCAAACAAAGTTTAATTTTGGACCCCAACTTGGACAAACTTGAAAACTGGGCCCATAATCAAAAATCTAAACACATGTTTAGATTCAGCATATCAAAGAACCCCAAGAATTCAATTTTTGCTAAAATCAAACTAAGTTTAATTTTGGACCCTTTGGACCTTAATGTAGACCAATTTAAAAAACGGGACTTAAAATTAAAAATCTAAATACACGGTTAGATTTGGAATATCAAAGAACCCCAATAATTCAATTTTTGATGAAATCAAACAAAGTTTAATTTTGGACCCTTTTGACCTCAATATGAACCAATTTGATAGCAGGGCCCACAAATAAAAAATCTAAATTCATGGTTAGATTCAGCATATCAAAGAACTCCATATATTCAATTTTTGTTGAAATCAAAAAAAGTTTAATTTTGGACCCCAACTTGGACCAACTTGAAAACTGGGCCCATAATCAAAAATCTAAACACATGTTTAGATTCAGCATATCAAAGAACCCCAAGAATTTAATTTTTGTTAAAATCAAACTAAGTTTAATTTTGGACCCTTTGGACCTCAATGAAGACCAATTTAAAAAACTGGACCCAAATTAAACATCTAAAAACACGGTTAGATTTGGCATATCAAAGAACCCCAATAATTCAATTTTTGATGAAATCAAACAAACTTTAATTTTGGACCCTTTTGACCTCAATATGAACCAATTTGATAGCGGGGCCTACAAATAAAAAATCTAAATACATGGTTAGATTCAGCATATCAACGAACCTCATATATTCAATTTTTGTTGAAATCAAACAAAGTTTAATTTTGGACCCCAATTTGGACCAACTTGAAAACTGGGCCCATAATCAAAAATCTAAATTCATGTTTAGATTCAGCATATCAAAGAACCCCATATATTCAATTTTTGTTGAAATCAAACAAAGTTTAAATACTGGACCCTATCTTGGACCAACTTGAAAACTGGGCCCATAACCAAAAATCTAAACACATGTTTAGATTCAGCATATCAAAGAACCCCAAGAATTCAATTTTTGTTAAAATCAAACTAAGTTTAATTTTGGACCCTTTGGACCTTAATGTAGACCAATTTAAAAAACAGGACCCAAAATTAAAAATCTAAATACACAGTTAGATTTGGAATATCAAAGAGCCCTAATAATTCAATTTTAGATGAAATCAAACAAAGTTTAATTTTGGACCCTTTTGACCTCAATATGAACCAATTTGATAACGGGGTCCACAAATAAAAAATCTAAATACATGGTTAGATTCAGCATATCAAAGAACCCCATATATTCAATTTTTGTTGAAATCAAACAAATTTTAATTTTGGACCCCAATTTGGACCAACTTGAAAACTGGGCCAAAAATCAAAAATCTAAATACATGTTTAGATTCAGCATATCAAAGAACCTCATATATTCAATTTTTGCTAAAATCAAACAAAGTTTAATTTTGGACCCTTTGGACCTTAATGTAGACCAATTTAAAAAACAGGACCCAAAATTAAAAATCTAAATACACGATTAGATTTGGAATATCAAAGAGCCCTAATAATTCAATTTTAGATGAAATCAAACAAAGTTTAATTTTGGACCCTTTTGACCTCAATATGAACCAATTTGATAACAAGGTCCACAAATAAAAAATCTAAATACATGGTTAGATTCAGCATATCAAAGAACCCCATATATTCAATTTTTGTTGAAATCAAACAAAGTTTAATTTTGGACCCCAATTTGGACCTCCCCCAAAAAATTCTTTCCCTCAAGATATGGTCATAAACTCAATTCAAATTTCCAATGGAGTTGGCAACCATAATTACCCATTTAAATTTACCATAGTGCTAACTTAATCTATTTTATAATAGAATTAAAAATATAGTGTCAAATCTTTCATATGGATTTTTTTGTAAAAAAAAATGATGCAACATTTGCAGATATTTTTACTGGTCTTCCTTGATAAATATGCATTTCTTTAAACATAATTTAAAAGCAGTGTAAGGGAAGTAACCAAAACGTTGTATTTGGATTACCTCCCTTACACTGTTTTAAATTATCTTTATTGTTCATTAACCATTACTTTATACATAATTTAAAAGCAGTGTAAGGGAGATAATTTCAATGATGTATTTGATTTATCTCCCTTACACTGCTTTAAATTATGTTTTGTACTAAAGTATTTGTCCATTAACCAGGACAACCTTGTTTTTCCCCCTTTTTTGCCCCTAATTCCTAAACGGTTTGAGCCATAACCACCCAAAGCAGATCCTAACCATCCCTTTGTGGTATGGAAACTTGTAGTATAATTTCAGAGAGATCCATACACCGTTCCACAGTTATTGTCTGGAAACTAGAAAATGCTTATTTTTGGCCCCTTTTTGGCCCCTAATTCCTTAACTGTTGGTACCATAACCCCTAAAATCAATCCCAACCTTCCTTTTGTGGTATTTAACCTTATGGTAAAATTTCAAAAAGATCCATTCACTTAAACTAAAGTTAGAGTGCGAAAACCAATGTGTCTTCGGACGACGACGACGACGCCAACGTCATACCAATATACGACCACAAAATTTTTTTGCGGTCGTATAAAAATTACCCAGAATGCCTTATATTCTGAATGAGTAAATTATTTCAAACATTACTTCTGCTTTGTGCTGTCAAAATTTCACTTCCATAAAATGTGAAATAAGCATGTAAAGGACGAAAAAAAAACATACATAATATAATTATGTGGTGTCAACAGGTACACAAAAAGCAATATACACATGTATATCTCCACAAAAATCCAAAAATCAATTTTGAAATTTTTTATTGATAAAGATCATGTTATCATGGTTTCAGTGCAAAATGTGAGTTAATGAATTTTTTGGATTTTTTTTTAAAACAAGGAGGGGAGGGGGTTTAAAGCACAAAATTTAATCAAGACTAAAAGGGAGATAACTTACGACAATTGTCTTCATCACTGTCATCGGCACAGTCAAACTGTCTATTACAAACAAACACTTTCGGTACACACTGCTGCTTGTTATTACAACGAAACTCATCAGTATTACATATCACCGGTGCTGTAAGTATAATAACAATAACATAAAACATTAATAAGTGAATAAGCCAAATTGCTATCAAATTTTATAACAGTAACACTATTAGTGTCTTATGTGGAGCAGAATCTGTTTACCCTTCCAGATCACCTGAGATCACCCCAGATTTTGGTGTCTTTTGGTCATTTTTCGTTTTTTGCCATTATTTTCGACTTTAAATATGTATCCCTTTTGCAGCCCTCAATTTAGTCTACTGAAATGGTCTCCTGGGCGACTTTAAAAGCTAATTGGCGACCAAAAATTCATAATTGGTTGCCATTTGGGCTATTAGAATATTGAAAATCTGGCGACCATAACTTTTCGGAAATTTTGCCCTGATCAGAGTTGGGTTTTAAAACATCGTCTGAGCGCTTGACAGTAACACAAATTTATACTGTATTTCAAGCACCTTTTATATTTAAGCTTGATCCTATCAGCGCTTTATAGCATCAGGTAATTGTAGCTCATTTGTAAGCATACACTGAAAATGGCACAGATCTATCTATCTTCGTATTTTAGCACTCAGTCACAACTTTGACTATTACGTGCCGTTAGAAAGAAAACTATTGGCATTCATAGATAGTGTTTATTGAAAGCGCATGGTCGAGTCTCTTTCTCGATTTCCTCGGTAAACAGATATAAACAAGGTCGGCGACAATTTTGTAAATTGTTGTCACAGATTCAATAAAATACCAGCTACAATTTCGCAAACGATTTCAGATGTTCACTTATAAAACATGTACAATGAAATAAAATTAAATAAATCATGTGGTTATTTTAGTTGATTTATACAAACTATTTTCTACACTCGACAGCATAAAAACACAGAACAAAAACTTAATACTTTAATTTCACAAGGGTTGTTTAGCTAGAAAAAAAATGTAGGCAACCAGAAAATTATTTCCTGGCCACTGAAATTTTGAGTTGGCCACTAAATTTTCATGTCGGGTGGCCAGTTGGCAACTTCATTTCAGATACTACTTTGAGGGCTGTTTTGGTATCTTTTGCCTCTCTCTAAGAAAAATTTGTAAATTTTAAAAAAATCAAGTAAAAAACTTAACCAAAATTTTTTCACTTTCCATCATCAAACCAACTTGGCAGTGATTTGATGTATGGTTCTGCAAATTTATAGGTCACTTAATGGCTCCTTTGACCTTGACACCTGACCAAGTGATCTAAAAATCAATAGAAGTCTTTTTTCTTCCAGAGGCACAGTATTCTCAAAGGATGGGCGATTTTTTTCCAATATTTTTCAAAAGTTTCAATCAGTTCATAGGTATAGGTATTTGTAACCTTGATATTTGACTTAAACTGACCCAAAAATACAAAAGGAGCATTGCTACTTTTAATAGGTATTCTTTCATCTAAGTATGGTGAAGGATGGACATATGATTCAAAAGAAAACTAGAATTTTGCACCAATTTCAGTCTATCAATTACTTAATCTTTGACCTAGTGACCTCAAAATCAATGGAGTCTTCTTCACCCAAACGAGACAAAACTTTACTCAATTTTGATTAGAACACTGTTTATGGTTCATAAGATATGGATACCATCTAATGCAAAATTTGTAAAAAGATTCCTACAAAACCTACGTCTAGCCTGTGATTCCTGCTGTCAGTTAAAAGTTGTCTGCCAAAAACTTAGTCCATTTATCAATAAAATTTAGAAGAAGAAAAAACACTATTTACTTCAGGTTCTATTTCCGATAAGTCTGCTCAAATAACTTTAGGCCAATGAACAGAAAGGACTAATATAGGCAAATGAAATTACTGGACTTGACTGTAGGTCAAGAAACTTACGACAGTTAAGTTCGTCTGACTCATCATTACAATCAATTTGTCCATCACATTTAAACCTTCCATCTACGCAATCACCATCATCACATCTGAACTGGTTGTCTGCACATCTGGATGGGGTAACAGCACCTGAAAAACAAATTCATAGTTATTTCATGTGTTCAAGAGGGAGACCTGAAACAAATAACTTAAATGAGAATATGTGTTCATAGGATCCCATGCCCTGCTCGCACTATCACATTTCCTTGTTTCCTATGTATTAACTTTCAAGTTGATGTGACATGATTTTACCCTTTTATAAGGATGTTCTTGTCCCAGGCAGAAAACCCTGGCCGTGTTAGGCACAACTTTTTGGAAGTTTTGGTCCTCGGTGCTCTTCAGCTTTGTACTTGTTTTGGCTTTCAAACTTTTTTAATCTGAGTGTCACTGGTTGGTCTTGTGTGGATGAGACGCACGTCTGGTGTATTGAATTTTAAGCCTAGTACCTTTTGTTAGCTATTATTCGTGTGTTTCTTTGTCCTATATGTTCTCCCATTTATTTGTATTGTGGTCCTGTCATGTGATGTTGTCGTTTTGGTGTTGTGTTTGACGTTGCCATAAAAGCGGAAGGTTTGGCATGCCACAAAACCAGGTTCAACCCACCATTTTTTTCTTAAAATGTCCTGTACCAAGTCAGGAAAATGGCCATTGTTATATCATAGTTCGTTTCTGTGTGTGTTACATTTTAATGTTGTGTTTTTGTTGTGTCGTTGTTCTCCTCTTATATTTGATGCGTTTCCCTCAGTTTTAGTTTGTAACCCAGATTTGTTTTTATCTCTATCGATTTATGAGTTTCGAACAGCGGTATACTACTGTTGCCTTTATTTATGCTACTGATTAACTGCTTGAATTTAGGAATTTTACTTAAGGTTCTGTGGATTTATTATTATTTGTTGGATACCAATTTTCGTTGATTTCAAGAGTACAGATGAATCATGAATTTAAATGTTCAAGGAATGACACATTTTCTATAAGGTTGTATGTGGACTTTGGCAAAATAAAATTGAGAATGGAAATGGGGAATGTCTCAAAGAGACAACGACCCGACCATAGAGCAGACAACAGCCGAAGGCCACCAATGGGTCTTCAATGCAGCGAGAAACTCCCGCACCCGGAGGCGTCCTTCAGCTGGCCCTTAAACAAATATGTATACTAGTTCAGTGATAATGAACGTCATACTAAACTCCAAATTATACACAGGAAACTAAAATTAAAAATGATACAAGACTAACAAAGGCCAGAGGCTCCTGACTTGGGACAGGCGCAAAAATGCGGCGGTGTTAAACATGTTTTTTGAAAACTTTTACGAAAATGCAAGTTTTCCTCAATCCAGGAAAATTGGCACCCATGAAAACAAATGATTCCACAGTATTCATGGAATATATTTAAAAGTACCACCTACAAATGGGAAAAGTACAAGTTACCATGTCAGAAACATAATGAAACCCCTGTAATAAATGCTGGCAAAAATATGTGTATTGACATTATTTTGTCAAATTCCTCTGACCCAAATCTGATGAAAATTTTGTTATCTTTTATAAAAGTCTCTGCTTGTTTTATATGGCTATGAGACAACAACCAACCAGAGAACAAAGGACATGGATGTTTAGGTCTTCATACCACCTTCAAAACCCCTTACATACAAAAGTAATATATAATGTATATGTATATAGTAAGCTATTAAAGGCCTCTGAATGTTAAAATGTGAAACAATTCAAACAAGAAAACCAACAAATGACAAAATGTGAAACAATTCAAACAAGAAAACCAACAAATGACAAAATGTGAAACAATTCAAACAAGAAAACCAACAAATGACAAAATGTGAAACAATTCAAATAAGAAAACCAACAAATGACAAAATGTGAAACAATTCAAACAAGAAAACCAACAAATGACAAAATGTGAAACAATTCAAACAAGAAAACCAGCAAACGACAAAATGTGAAACAGACTAATAATTATAACAAGAAAACCAACCATGGTTGACCATATAACAACTTACCATCTATTCCAGTGTAATCCATTATAGCTTTGAGAGCAAAAGTAGCTTTTGTATCCTGAAAGTCAGTGCCATTTAAATTTACAATGGATCCACTATTCACATCCTCATTATAGATTCTTGCGTAATAATTCTGATACAATTCTCGGTTATCAACGGCATCTTCCACTTGTGTGGCGCTGGCAACCACGCCTTCTTCTGCACTTCTTGGATAAAAAATACCAATGAAATCTCCTTTCTCAACAGCAATTGGAGGATCAACAAAAACGGTCTGGTTTCCTTCGTTGGCGATTGGAAGTTCCGTTTTACCGATAAGTCGAAACTGTAAATCGTTGATTTGCCTCCAGACACCGACATAGCCAGTGTAACGAGGGATGATACGATAATATTGCCAAGCAACAACATAACCACGGCAAGGAAAGATGTTGTTTATGAGAAGATTGGCACGATTATCCCCAGAGCGAGGCAATCTTGATGGGTCCCTTCCAACAAAATCTGGACATGTCCTTCCATCTGCAATGAAATATCAAATTTTGTTCAAAAGTTTTTCATATTACAATGTATCAAATTAAACCTGTGTTAAGTTATTTAAATCTAAAATGTTATTCTAAATTTACCAGTTAAGGCTGAATGCACTTCAGTAGCATAATGCATTTATTTGTGTATTTATATATAATTGTATAAACGACAGGGAAAAAAATTTGAAACTGATATTCAAATGTACCAACATACACAAAAATACTAATAAAAACAGAACGTTAGTATATACACTAATGAGAAATACATAATTACCTCTTTCAAAAACAATCCCATATTGTGCAAAAGCAAAATGTAGGTTAATTATAAAAATACATATCCGAAAGGAATCCATGTTTAGAATGTTCAAATTACATAACATATTATTCAACATTTACATGTACATAGCAGGCTTGATTTTTTTTAAACTTCGACTATTAAACAAACAAATCAGATAAAATAACAACAATTTAAATTTAATAGGAAAATTATTCATGTCATTATATAAGTACATGTAAAATAAACTCATGCTAGTATATGGATAAATACAAGGTAAAGCGTATCTCTTTTTGATCTGTTCTAATAACAGGTTACGCTGAAGTTTTAAATAAATATTTCAAATAAAAAAGATATCATAACCCCGCAATTATAATGTAATTGATACCAAAATAAATACCCATAATTGATCATTAACTGTTTTTAACGTGCAAAAGAAGTCAAATGATATTTATCTTTTGAAACTTTTAAAAGAAAAAAAAGACAACTTTTTTCTTTTTATAATTTAAATTGGCTTTTTTTACACACAGGCAAAAAAAAAACACAAAAAGTACTTTTAGATTTTTATACGACCGCAAAAAAATTTTGTGGTCGTATATTGGTATGACGTTGGCGTCGTCGTCGTCGCCGTCCGGCGGCGTCGTCGTCGTCGTCGTCGTTGTCGTCCGGCGTCGTCGTCCGAATACATATTGGTTTTCGCACTCTAACTTTAGTTTAAGTGAATGGATCTTTTTGAAATTTGACCATAAGGTTAAATACCACAAAAGGAAGGTTGGGATTGATTTTGGGGGTTATGGTACCAACAGTTAAGGAATTAGGGGCCAAAAAGGGGCCAAAAATGAGCATTTTCTAGTTTCCAGACAATAACTGTGGAACGGTGTATGGATCTCTCTGAAATTATACTACAAGTTTCCATACCACAAAGGGATGGTTAGGATTTGCTTTGGGGGGTTATGGCTCAAACCGTTTAGGAATTAGGGGCAAAAAAGGGGGAAAAACAAGGTTGTCCTGGTTAATGGACAAATACTTTAGTACAAAACATAATTTAAAGCAGTGTAAGGGAGATAAATCAAATACATCATTGAAATTATCTCCCTTACACTGCTTTTAAATTATGTATAAAGTAATGGTTAATGAACAATAAAGATAATCTAAAACAGTGTAAGGGAGGTAATCCAAATACAACGTTTTGGTTACTTCCCTTACACTGCTTTTAAATTATGTTTAAAGAAATGCATATTTATAAAGGAAGACCAGTAAAAATATCTGCAAATGTTTTCATCTTTTTTTTTTACAAAAAAATCCATATGAAAGATTTGACACTATATTTTTATTAATTCTATTATAAAATAGATTAAGTTAGCACTATGGTAAATTTAAATGGGTAATTATGGTTGCCAACTCCATTGGAAATTTGAATTGAGATTATGACCATATCTTGAGGGAAAGAATTTTTTTGGGGGAAAAAGGGGGGGGGGGGGGATAAAAAGAAATTGTGGGGGGCCAATTTTTTCTCATTTCAGATTTCAGAATTTAAAAAGAATTATTCTTCAAATATTATTTTTTTTTCAAATTTCAAATATTGAAAAATTTCAAGAAGTAATCTTTAATTGCACAGTATGGCGCATTAGATTTGTAAAATCTTTGATCACATTTATTTATTTGTTATGCCGAATCTAACAGTGTATTTAGATTTTTAATTTTGGGTCCAGTTTTCAAATTGGTCTACATTAATGTCCAAAGGGTCCAAAATTAAACTTTGTTTGATTTTAGCAAAAATTGAATATATGAGGTTCTTTGATATGCTGAATCTAAACATGTATTTAGATTTTTGATTTTTGGCCCAGTTTTCAAGTTGGTCCAAATTGGGGTCCAAAATTAAACTTTGTTTGTTTTCAACAAAAATTGAATATATGGGGTTCTTTGATATGCTGAATCTAACCATGTATTTAGATTTTTTATTTGTGGACCCCGTTATCTAATTGGTTCATATTGAGGTCAAAAGGGTCCAAAATTAAACTTTGTTTGATTTCATCTAAAATTGAATTATTGGGGTTCTTTGATATTCCAAATCTAACCGTGTATTTAGGTTTTTAATTTTGGGTCCTGTTTTTTAAATTGGTCTACATTGAGGTCCAAAGGGTCCAAAATTAAACTTAGTTTGATTTTGACAAAAATTGAATTCTTGGGGTTCTTTGATTTGCTGAATCTAAACATGTGTTTAGATTTTTGATTATGGGCCCAGTTTTCAAGTTGGTCCAAGATAGGGTCCAGTATTTAAACTTTGTTTGATTTCAACAAAAATTGAATATATGGGGTTCTTTGATATGCTGAATCTAAACATGTATTTAGATTTTTGATTATGGGCCCAGTTTTCAAGTTGGTCCAAATTGGGGTCCAAAATTAAACTTTGTTTGATTTCAACAAAAATTGAATATATGAGGTTCTTTGATATGCTGAATCTAACCATGTATTTGGATTTTTTATTTGTAGGCCCCGCTATCAAATTGGTTCATATTGAGGTCAAAAGGGTCCAAAATTAAACTTTGTTTGATTTCATCGAAAATTGAATTATTGGGGTTCTTTGATATGCCAAATCTAACCGTGTTTTTAGATTTTTAATTTGGGTCCCGTTTTTTAAATTGGTCCTCATTGAGGTCCAAAGGGTCCAAAATTAAACTTAGTTTGATTTTAACAAAAATTGAATTCTTGGGGTTCTTTGATATGCTGAATCTAAACATGTGTTTAGATTTTTGATTATGGGCCCAGTTTTCAAGTTGGTCCAAGTTGGGGTCCAAAATTAAACTTTTTTTGAATTCAACAAAAATTGAATATATGGGGTTCTTTGATATGCTGAATCTAACCATGAATTTAGATTTTTTATTTGTGGGCCCGCTATCAAATTGGTTCATATTGAGGTCAAAAGGGTCCAAAATTAAACTTTGTTTGATTTCATCAAAAATTGAATTATTGGAGTTCTTTGATATTCCAAATCTAACCGTGTATTTAGATTTTTAATTTTAAGTCCCGTTTTTTAAATTGGTCTACATTAAGGTCCAAAGGGTCCAAAATTAAACTTAGTTTGATTTTAGCAAAAATTGAATTCTTGGGGTTCTTTGATATGCTGAATCTAATCATGTGTTTAGATTTTTGATTATGGGCCCAGTTTTCAAGTTTGTCCAAGTTGGGGTCCAAAATTAAACTTTGTTTGATTTTAACAAAAATTGAATATATGGGGTTCTTTGATATGCTGAATCTAACCATGTATTTTGATTTTGGACATTGGACCATAATAGGTAAATTAAAAAAAATCAAGTTCTTAGACCACATTCTTTCTGTGTCAGAAACCTATGCTGTGTCAAATATTTAATAACAATCCAAATTCAGAGCTGTATCAAGCTTGAATGTTGTGTCCATACTTGCCCCAACTGTTCAGGGTTCGACCTCTGCGGTCGTATCAAGCTGCGCCCCAGCGAAGCATTTTATTAAAAATTGATAGACAATATACTCATCAGATGGATTACTAAGGTCTTAAAATTGCCTGGATTCTAAGATTACAAAATGATTTCCATTTTGAACTACAAGCAGTACAAAAACCCCATTGAAAGTTAATAATCTCAATGAACTCAACCATATTTTACACTCTACATTCTACAACTTTGAGTTACCAGGATAAATGTGAACAAGATTCTAAACTAGAAGCAAAAGATGCCAAAATGATTATCAAACTCATAAGTCAAAGACAAATTAAAAACACCATAGCAAAAAAACCAAAAACAACAAAAAAACAGTTCATAACTAATTGACAGGTTTTGTTTCCTGTTTTCAATTCAAAACAGTGCAGAACTGAGTCAGTTTTTCTGATCCTATATCATTTTACTAATGCCAGTCAGGTGATAATGTTAAGTCTTAGGTCAAAAGTGTTACACCATTCCTAAATTCCCCTATTATTTCATATGAAAACACGTTTTTTTAACCATTGTCAAAAAGCTTATTTGAGGTCTGATTCTGATTTTTTTTTTTTTTTTTTTATTTTAAACACACAAATGTGTACATTTTTTTTTAGGGTTATTATGTAATATTTTTATGACTTGCCATTACTGAGAAATTTATATTTGTATACAATTATTGTTAGCATTCAACCCTCCCCCATTAACCTAGGACAGCAGTGTAATTTCCTGTTTGCTTAATTTGCCTGTTTTTATAAACATATGAGTCAAATGTATAGAAAAATGTCATGTGATGCCACATTGAAACAGCAACTATATTGGACCTCTTCTATGAACCATGTTGCTAAATTTAGAGAACAAATAAAGACAAACGAAACACATGATGGAAATTACATCATTATAAGTCTCATTTCACAACGATAAGCAGAGGCCTTTAATAGCCCAGACTACTAAATTTCCGGCTGAAAATGTCCATACTGATAATTTTATTATCTTTTAAATTAATTGTGGCAGCCCCTACATTGGAAATGTTAATCATTGTTCCTGCTCTTAGGTCTATAGTGTGAATTTGCAATGATATATTTATGCTTGTATTATATCTATATGTCATCCTATGACCGTTAACCATCCAAGTGATGATTGATTGATTTTTGGTGTTTTAATGACACGGTCAGCACTTTTGGCAATTTTGTGATACTGTAAATTCAGAAATTATTGCGATGTTTTCATTATTGCGAAAAATGCGACAGGGTTATAATCGCAATAATTTAA